TGAATCAAATAATAGATGCTGAGAGCGACTCTGGGTGAGGAGGTCTGGATGACCCGGCGGCTACTGAAGGTGTGATGCTAACAAAACAAACACAAATGTTCTCCTAATCAACACTGGGGAGAAATTAATTAAAAAATTATATATTATTAAAAATATTATTTCCATCCCCATCATTGTTTTGATAATCATTTTCCTCTCCATGATTCTCATTTTTACTGCTTCATCTATCTTAAATGTTTCTGGACTCAGCTGTCGGTGTTAAACTCTGATTGGCTGCTGGTATGAAGAGGTTTGATTTGGCAAAATGACCAAAACAGGAGAAAATAAAACAACAGGAGAGAAGAAGCAATAACAGCTGATGAGGGAAAATGGAGAAGCTAAAGCTGCTGCTCTCTGAAACAGAGGAGGCTCAGTGACGTCAGTTACATCCAAATACTTGTTTACATTTGAATTCAAATCTCAAAGTGCTACAGTTCAAAAAGGGAAAATTAAAACAAAGGTTAAAAGAACATAACATTAAAAACAGAGTAAAAGACAATCATTAAAATCAATACATTTAAAGGCATACAGTATGTAGCCTCTTAAAAGATCTAAAATCAGCAATTGAAAGCATTTCTAAAAAATAAAATAAAAATCAAATAATAAACCACAGTGAGTTCAGGATCTGATGACTGGTCTGACGGAACGATCCCTTTATCCTCCCTCTGAGTCTCAATCTTTTAGTGTGATTGGCCAATCAGCATCAAGGAGCCAGCTTCTTGACCCGCTAGAGGTTTAGCCTCCCTGGAAATGACATGTTTTGCTTGTTATTCAGTCAGGGCTCTACTTTCTCTGGTTGCTTCAATAGACTGAGGCTCCAACCTCAGGAGATTAATAGAGGCAAAAAAAAAAAAACAGCTGATTAATGAGCAACATACTCTTTAAATTAATCACATACTCGTACTCGTTGTCTCCCGCTTTATCCGGAACCGGGTCGCAGGGGCAGCAGACTAAGCAGAGACTCCGAGACTTCCCTCTCCGCAGACACCTCCTCCAGCTCTGTTGGGGGAAGCCCTAGGCGCTCCCAGGCCAGCCGAGAGACATAGTCTCTCCAGCGTGTCCTGAGTCGTCCCCTGGGCCTCCTCCCAGTGGGACGTGCCTGGAACACCTCCCGAGGGAGGCGTCCAGGGGGCATCCAAAGAAGATGTCCGAGCCACCTCAACTGACTCCTCTCGATGTGGAGGAGAACCGGCTCTACTCTGAGCCTCTCCTGAATGACCGAGCTCCTCACCCTATCTCTAAGGGAGAGCCCGGCCACCCTGCGGAGAAAGCTCATTTCAGCCGCTTGTATCCGGGATCTCGTTCTTTCGGTCATGATCCAAATTTCATGACCATAGGTGAGGGTAGGAACGTAGACCGACCGGTAAATTGAGAGCTTTGCCTTTTCACTCAGCTCTCTCTTCACCACGACAGACCAGTGCAGCGTCCGCATTATTGCAGCAGCCGCACCGATCCGTCTATCGATCTCCCGCTCCATTCTTCCCTCACTCGTGAACAGGACCCCAAGATACTTGAACTCCTCCACTTGAGGCACGGACTCTCCTCCAACCTGAAGGGGACAAGCCACCTTTTTCCGGTCGAGAACCATGGCCTCGGATTTGGAGGAGCTGATTCTCATCCAGGCTGCTTCACACTCGGCTGCGAACCGCCCCAGCGCACGCTGTAGGTCTTGGCAGGAGGGAGCCAGCAGAACTACGTCATCCGCAAAAAGCAGGGACGAGATCCGCTGTTCCCCAAACCAGACTCCCTCCGGTCCTCGGCTGCGCCTAGAAATCCTGTCCATAAAAGTTATGAACAGGACCGGTGACAGAGGGCAGCCCTGTTGTAGTCCAACATGCACTGGGAACAGGTCCGACTTAGTGCCGGCAATGCGAACCAGACTCCTGCTCCGCTTGTACAGAGAACGGATGGCCCCTAATAAAGGGCCCCCGACTCCATACTCCTGGAGCACCCCCCACAGGGCAGCACGAGGGACACGGTCGAATGCCTTCTCCAAGTCCACAAAACACATGTGGACTGGTTGGGCAAACTCCCATGAACCCTCAAGCACCCTGCAGAGGGTGTAGAGCTGGTCCACTGTTCCACGGCCAGGACGAAAACCACACTGCTCCTCCTGCAGCCGAGGTTCAACAATCAGCTGGACTCTCCTCTCCAGCACCCTGGCATAGGCCTTTCTGGGGAGGCTGAGAAGTGTGATTCCCCGATAATTGGAACACACCCTCCGGTCCCCCTTCTTGTGGAGGGGAACCACCACCCCAGTCTGCCAATCCAGGGGAACTGTCCCCGACCTCCACGCGATGTTGAAGAGACGTGTCAACCATGACAGCCTGACAACATCCAGAGCTCTAAGATACTCAGGACGGATATCGTCCACCCCCGAAGCCTTGCCACCTTGGAGTTTTTTGACCACCTCGGTGACTTCGGCCCCAGGTGATGAACGAATCCAGCCCCAAGCACCCCGTCTCTTCTTCCCCCACGGAAGGCGTGTCCGTCGGGTTGAGGAGATCCTCAAAGTATTCCTTCCACCGCCCGACAATATCCTCCTTCAAGGTCAGCAGCTCCCCACTCCCACTGAAAACAGTGTTAGTGAAGCCCTGCTTTCCCCTCCGGAGGCACCGGACGGTTTGCCAGAATCGCTTTGAGGCCAACCGATAGTCTTTTTCCATGGCCTCTCCGAACTCCTCCCAGGACCGAGATTTTGCCTCTGCAACCGCCCGGGCCGTGACACGCTTGGCCTCACAGTACCTGCTTGCTGCTTCAGGAGTCCCACAAGCCAGCCAAGCTCGATAGGACTCCTTCTTCAGCTTGACAGCATCCCTTAGTATCGGTGTCCACCACCAGGTTCGGGGATTGCCACCACGACAGGCACCACAAACCTTACGGCCACAGCTACGGGCAGCTGCATCGACAATAGAGGCAGAGAACATAGCCCATTCACACTCCAGGTCTCCAACCTCCCTCAGAACCTGAGAGAAGCTCTCCCGGAGGTGGGAGTTGAACACGTCCCTGACCGAGGGTTCCACCAGACGTTGCCAGCAGACCCTCACTACACGTTTGGGCCTGCCAAGTCTTTCAGGCTTCCTCCTCTTCCAGCGTATCCAGCTCACCACCAGGTGGTGGTCGGTGGACAGCTCCGCCCCTCTCTTCACCCGAGTGTCCAGGACATGCGGCCGAAGATCAGAAGATACGACTACAAAGTCGATAATCGACCTTCGGCCTAGGGTGTCCTGGTGCCAAGTGCACCGATGGACATCCTTATGCCTGAACATGGTGTTAATTATGGACAATCCGTGACTTGCACAGAAGTCCAATAATGAGACACCACTCAGGTTCAGAGCTGGGGGCCCGTTCCTCCCGATCACGCCCCTCCAGGTGTCACTGTCGTTTCCCACGTGGACGTTGAAGCCTCCCAGTAGAATGATGGAATCCCCGGGAGGGGTGCTTTCTAACACCCTCCCCAGGGATGCTAAGAAGGCCTGGTACTCCGTACTGCCGTTCGGCCCATAGGCCGAAACAACTGTCAGAGTCCTCCCCTCAACCCGAAGGCGAAGGGATGCGACCCTCTCGTCTACAGGGGTGAACTCCAACACGAGACGGCTGAGCTGGGGGGAGACAAGCAGCCCCACCCCCGCGGGTCACTCCAGAGTAGAAGAGAGTCCAGCCTCTCTCAAGGAGCTCGGTTCCAGAGCCCTGGCTGTGCGTAGAGGTGAGCCCAACTATTTCTAGCTGGTATCGCTCCACCTCCCGCACAAGTTCGGGCTCCTTCCCCGCCAGTGAGGTGACATTCCACGTCCCCAGAGCCAGTTTAAGCGCCCACGGATCAGGTCGCCGAGGTCTCCGCCTCTGGCTGCCGCCCAATCCACTTTGCACCGGTCCCTCATGGTTCCCCCTGCAGGTGGTGGGCCCACTGGGGGATGGCCTCGCGTCGCTCCTTCGGGCTGGGCCCGGCCGGGTCCCGTGAGGAATAACCCGACCACCAGGTGCTCGCCAACGAACCCCAACCCCAGGCCTGGCTCCAGGGTGGGGTCCCGGCTCCGCCGTACCGGGCGACGTCACTTGCCTCGTTGTTGTGCTCATCATAAGGGTTTTTGAACCGCTCTCCGTCTGACCTGTCACCCAGAGCCTGTTTGCCTTGGGAGACCCTACCAGGGGCATTTAGCCCCCGACAACATAGCTTCTGGGATCACCCAGGCACTGAAACCCCTCCACCACGTTAAGGTGGCGGATCAAGGAGGAAATTAATCACATTTTAGTGGTTATTTATTGCACTTTAATGAAGTTTAACAATTCATATATGATCAATTATTTTACAACATTTACAGGTGAGGTTTAGCCTGTCATGCTGAGTGGAGGATTTAAAGACTTAATTGCAGAGATGGAAGCTGAAGGGGTTTATTGCGAGTTTAATGTCCAAAGGGGCAACAGAAGCAAAAGTCTACAAACAAAATAATGAAATCCAGGAACAAACATGTGGATCAAAAATGACGACGAGGAACCAGCAGAGTCACTAAACAAAAGGAGTATATATGGGAGACAAACAATGGGAGGACTAATTGGCAGACAAGTTACATGTGTGGAAAGAAGAATCTAGAAAGGAGACTGACACAAGAGGGAAAATAAGAAATACATAAGAAGTCAAATACAACTAAAAATACCAAAATAAAACAAAATGGAAATAAAACCAATAAAAAACTCAGAGATCCTTTCTAGGAGTCAATGAGGAATCACCACTGAGCTAAAGGTGGATCAGGTTCAATGATCTCGGGGGAAGAGTTGGACTTTAAGGTGGATTATTGAGCAGATCTATGCATCTTTTTCTCTGTTTTCAGCTCCAGTCTGGAAGCTGAGAAGCTCTATTGATGCAAAAGGAAGTTCTGACCCAGAGTGACTGAAATAAATGCACACCACACTTTTCAGCTTTTTACCATAAATCCTAATTTAAACATTGAGGTTTGTGTTTGTAACGTAATAAAATGTTGAAAGTTTAGAAAACCTTAGCAAGACCTTAATTTCTCAACATCTTCCTGTTTTCAGTGCTGCTGCTCTGTTTGCTCAGACTGATGGCGAATGTGGTTGTTGCAGCTTAAAATGGGAAGTTTGTCGTAATTCTTTCCATTCTTTCCTCTCAGAGGCAGAAACAGTTCGCTATCAGATCCTCTCCCACCAGCAGAGATGCAGCGTTTACTGACTCAAGTGGCTGCAGGGAAACTGCAACTCTACATGGTGATCGTGGTGATGTTTACCTACAGCATTCTGCTCAGCAGGGACTTTGAGTGCACCTGCAAACCTCAGCACTATGACTGCATCATTTACTCACTTCTTCCTGCTCTCATAGTGACCGTCCTGATGCTGTGGTCCAACAGGCTGTTCCAGAGGCTCTGCAGCTACTGCTGCACATTTAAAGGGTTTCTCTGCTGTCAGATCCTGAAGTCTTCTATGGTCGGTCTCCTCTGGGTTGCACTTCTTTTCGTTAAAGGCGACTGGTTTGCCTGCTGCTTTAATAACCTTTCTGAGGAACAGGCCCATCTACCCTGCAAAGACCCGGGGAGGAGGACCGTTGAGGAGAGAGAAACCATTGCTGGCGTGAAAAACACATCCAGGGTGAAGGACGTCTTTATTGTCCTGCAGGAGGAACCGTTTGCAGGTTGGACCTTCAGTCTCTAACTGCCTGTCATGTGTCTGCTGCAGGTTGTTGGCTGCTGGATGCTCTTCATCATAATCTTCTCAGGAGCCATGAGTTCCTGGATCAGATGGAAATGTGACGGCGTGTGTAAATGCAGCAGGCAAACCGCTCAGTATGAAGAAACACTTTACTACAAACTGGTTCTGGAAGAGGAGGAAAAGGTGCTGAAGGAGGTTCTGAGGCAGGCGGTAAACCTAAAGCTGAGCGCAGAGATCAGGAAGAAATGTGAGAAAAACTGGAGAGAAGCTTTTAATGTTGCTGATGACCTCATCACCAAGGAATTAAAGCAAACTGTCAATGAAGAAACATCCTGACAGGGAAGAAGGTGAATCTGTAAACATTTTAGAAACATCCATATTCATTTATTTCAGTTCACATGAAAGGAAAACTTTAAAACAACCAGGATTGATTCTGTATAAATTACTACGGTAGCCATTGTAGAGTTCAGAGATGCTACAGCTTTGGAAAGCAATAGAGTGATAGAGCGGAGGGTCCAACCAGGAAGTCTGCTATCAGTCTTATAGAGAGAGGATAATTATTTGTTCTGAGATGTCAGTGAATCACCGTGACATGAAAGGAAAGAGCAAAGGTCAAGTTTGGCTCTAATTTTAATGTAAAAATCAACTGTTTGCTTCAGTGTTTTTATAAGAACTTGAGGTGCTTTTTGAAAATGTGAATTTGTTACAAATAAGGTTTTATAAATGCATGTTCTGCTGTACTTTATAAAGGTTTGCTATAGTTTCACATCACATTCAGATGAAAAAGCACAGCTACTGACAAAGAACTCGAGGAAAGTTACTAATTTATATCAGGAAAAGCAAAACGCTGTCTACTGGGATTCCCATAAACAGCCTAAAACAAACAATTAGAAAAGAACATTACAAAGGAACTCAGTTTATTCAAATAAATGTGATGATTCACTATTAACCAGAGTCAGACATGCAGCACCAGTCACATTATTATCGCTATTTAGTGCTGACATGGATGACCAGGAGGGTCTAAAGCATTCATTATTATTTATAATTTATGAACCAATATATATCAGCTCAAGTTTAATGGAGCATAACTTATTAGACTCCACTAAAACTAGCACCATAAAAATCACACGTGTAAACATTTAATTCAACTCTCATATCAGCAATCTGACTTTTTTCTGAGCATTTCCATCAGATAATAAGCAGAAAAAAACTGATCTGAACAGATTTTAATCTACAGCTGGCAAACTTTATTCATCTCTCTTATGGTTTTAAACGACAGAGGTTGTTGGGCATGTTGAACAACTTCTGCCTCTTTCAGGGATTAAGGTGGAGATGTGTTTTATAATGTTTCTCTCCAACTGAACTGCAGGATTCCTGAAGGGCGGGGCTCAACAGTCCACATCTGCAGACCTGCTTTTTTATTAAAGCGCATTAGTGGAAACTTAAAAGCAGTTGGCAGCTGGTATCCTAATGCCTGGCTTTCATCCAGTCTTGTTGTGTTTGATCTCATTATGATTCGGTGGCTGCATGATAAATGACATTTAACCGTCTTTTATTGTTTCATTTATGCCGTATAACTACTTTAACGTCTTCTGATCTAAATATAACCAACTAAAAGATGAAGAGACGTGTATGAAACGCCAAGATTTAAATGAGGTCCGTTTTTAGGGAGCATAAGGTGGTTTTAAACATGCATTGCGTTTTATTTAGTCTTTTCACAGCTGATCACTACGCTTGTTAATGTCAAGGTCACTTTAGTTGTGAAATCCATCAAGCCTTGTTTTGCCAAACCTCAGTTCTGCGACTAGATTCTCCACAAATGAGTCCTGTTCCGTTTTATTTTGTTTGTTTAGTGAGATCCCGGGTTTTTCAGGAAACATCCAGAGCTTCAGACAGTTTTTCTTTTTGTTTTTCTAACGTTTTAGCTCTGCTTCATCTTTTCCTTTGTGGTTTGGTTTTCTGCTGTTTGTTCAAGCAGTATATTCTATGTGATCAGATGAAATTGCTTATTTTTCACGTTACTTTTAGAGTGTTTCTAATATCTTTTTACATTTCCCAACTGACCTGCATGCCAAAAGAACAATAACAAGCAGTCGTGCAGGGCACAGTCTCTTCCAGGGAACGTGGAAGGAATGTTTTTTTTTTGTCTCCATGAAAGCAGTTTATTGTGTCTGCAGGTGCTGAGAGTATTCCCCTTTAACTGAACCATCTAATGAACAATAAACTGTAACCTTATAAATGACATTTCAATCTGAAAACCTCAAATGAAGAGAATTAGGAGAAATGTATTGAGACAATTACTTTGTCTTTGGTGCTCAGACCTCGGCAGAAAACATTGATTGATTTTGATAAATATGCATGAATAGGAGCGGAGAATAGGGCTGTTTCTCCCCAGGCCTGAAACTGGTGGTGGAGTGGAGATAGATGAAGTTGGTCAGTCTGTAGACTGCTGGTTGGAGAGACGGTCTGCTGAGCTGTAGTAAGGTGAATGTTGTTAATGTGTTGTTGTGCACTGTTTTTATTCAGGCATTTTAGACAGGGCCACCAGGGGTCCTCAGGGTCAAGTATAAATAGACAGCAGGTATGCTGCCAGTGTGTGTAATGAGTGATGCAGCAAGTGTTCAATAAAGTGGAATCTGCAAAGCTGGCTAAGTGACACTTTACTACACTGACGACAAGGATGGCTACAGTTTAAGAGTTGCAATGGCAACGTACGGAAAAACGGAGAGTCGGACCTGGAGGCTGATGACTGGCAGCAGTATGAGGAATGGCTTGGATTCTACTTTGCTGCAAATAAAATCACTGACGCCGGAGAAAGGGGGGCCATCTTCCTGAGTGCATGTGGAGGAAAAACTTACGCCACACTGAGAGACTTGTGTCAACCTGTGTATGCCGGGAGATAAATCCCTGACAGAGTTACTGAAACTGTTGACTGACCACTATGCACCAAAACGCAGCATTATCGTGGAGAGATTTATGTTCCATTTAAAAGTTTAAGATCATGGCCAGTCAGTTGCTGCGTTTGTAGCCGAACTTAGGAGACTTTCTGAGCACTGTACTAAGATGCTAAGAGATAGACTGGTGTGTGGTTTAATGATGACCGCATCCAACGCAACGTTGTTTTCAGAACCAGATTAGATTAGATTAGATTCAACTTTATTGTCATCACACAGGTACAGGTACAAGGCAACGTAATGCAGTTTAGGTCTAACCAGAAGTGCAATAGCAGCAAGTGCAGGATAAATAATGGTTCCATAAATACAGGACATGGGTTTCTACTGAATAAATATAGAGATGAATACTATTTTAAACAGAATTTTACTAATATATTTGTCCTATGAATATAATATATAGATAACTAGTGTTATGGAGTAAATTTACAGCTAAATATGTACTGAATATAATATACAGGAGGATATTACCATTTAAGGGTTTTTACAGATACTGTATGTACAATAGTATAATATACAGATGGGTTTTACTATAAAATGAATAAATAAAGTTTGGACAGAAGCTACGGTACCGTACTTCGACAGAAGTACGGGACATGGGAGAGGGCACTGGAATTAGCGACAGCAATGGAAACCAGCATGAAAGATGTGGCACAGTTGCAGCAGAAAACAGAAGGCCTAGAGGAGGCGGTGCACAAAGTGCAGCCACCGGTCTGACCAGAAGATGCATGTTACGTGTTTTAGATGCGGAGGAACGCACAGAGCTTCAGACTGCTGTGCCATAATTGCCGCAAGAAAGGACAATTGGCTAGAAAATGCCGCAGTGCGAGACAGCCCAAACCGATCAGATTTAACACAAGAGGGGCAGCACACATGTTAGAGGAAAACAAAGATGTACAGCCAGAATACACTCACATGCTGCACAATTTGAGAGTTAACAAAGTGGAGCCATACAGAGAACAACTTTCTGGTTATGGGCATGAAATCACATTTGAAATAGACACGGGGGCAGGCTTGACAATAGTGAATGAGAGAACACACAGGCAGATAGGGTGTGGAGGTCTTCACCCTGCAAAGATAAAACTGTACACCTACACCAGAGATACGGTGGATGCGCTAGGAAAGATTTATGCAAATGTCATTTACAAAGGACAGATGAAGCAGTTGCTTTTATTGGTGGTTAGAGGGGAGGGCCCAAACCTAATGGGAAGAGATTGGCTCAGGGCAGTGAGACTAGACTTGACAGCCATGTTCAAATTCCAAGTAGGACAGCAGCAAGAGTTAGAGGCCCTGCTGTCACAACACCTGGAAGTGTTTAAGGGTGAATTAGGCACATTAGTGGGGGCTACAGCTAAAATCTATCTAGACCCAAAGGACCAGCCTCGTTACTTTAAGGCTAGGCCCTTGCCCTATGCGCTCAGAGAAAAAGTTGAAACTGAACTGACCAGGCTGCAGAATTAATGGGTCTTAGAGCCTGTTAGTTTTACTGAGTGGGCAGCCCCAATAGTCCCCATAGTCAAACCACACAAAAGCATAAGGATATGTGGTGATTATAAAGTAGTAAGTATAAAGTTTAAAGTAGCAAGTGAATCCAGTGTCAAAGCTGGACAACTACCCAATTCCAAAGACAGAAGACTTGCTGGCTGGAGTGCACAAGTTCACCAAACTGGAAATGTCTCAGGCTTACCAGCATCTACCACTGAAAGAAAATTCACAACTATAAATACACATCGTGGACTGAATCAGTACCTCAGGCTGCCCTATGAGGTCTCCTCAGCCCCAGGCATTTTTCAGCGCACGGACAATTTACTACAGGGGGCTTCCTCAGGCAGTGGTGCGAGTAGACAACATACTCATGACGGGGAAAGACGATGCCAGCCATCTGCAGAATTTAGGGACAGTAGTACTGTCCAGACTGAATGCAGCAGGACTGCATTCCCTAGCCTTGAGCAAGAGAAATGCATTTTCATGGTGACAGAGGTGGTGTATCTGGGCTACAGAATAAATCATGCAGGGATTCAGCCAGTGGCAGACAAAGTTAAGACCATTGCAAATGCAGCTGCACCAACAAACCAGCTGAAGTCATTCCTGGGGATGGTGAACTATTATCATCACTTCTTTCTGATGTAGCCACTGTGCTTGAGCCTCTGCATGAACTCTGCAGAAAAGGAATTTCATGGAAATGGGAGAAACGCCATGAGAGCGCTTTTGACGCAGCGAAAAAATGCCTCCAGTCTGAGCAACTGTTAATATATTTGGAGGACACAAAACTCCTGTACCTGGCCTGAGATGCATCCCCATATAGCGTGGGAGCAGTGTTATCCCACCGGCTCCAAGATGGCACCCATAGGTTAAATGTCACGGCCCTTGTCATCAGCAGAACGTGGTTACTCTCAGCTGGAAAAGGAGGCTCTAGCAATAATATTTGGCTTAAAAAAATTCCACCAGTACCTATTTGGAAAACAATGTAACATAGTCACAGACCACAAACCATTCCTGGGTCTGTTTGGAGAGCATAAGGGCATCCCACATCAGGCGGCTGACAGAATGCAAAGGTGGGCATTGATACTTGCTGCCTATG